CTTGAAATTCAAATGAAAATGGAAAATATAAAAATTAATTTTCCACAATAATCAATAATTTGCAAATAGATTTGTCTTTTATTTTATTTTATACAACACTGTTTCGTGTGTGTATTTACCTACAATGATGTTAATTAAAATAAAATGAACATTAACAGAAATTATTTATTTTATTTCAGTTATTCATTTCAAGGCAAAATGTCAGTTTCAAATGTTTTATGTAGTTGAAGTACTTAAATTACTAAAATTAAAAATGAATTAAACAAAAGCACAACAAAATTACTAAAACTTTAAAATGAAACTGAAAAAAAAATAACTAATTCGAAATATTTATAATTAGTCTATTAATTTAAATAAAATATTTAATAGTTGAATTTGTATGTAAAATACTAAAACTAAAATGGAAATAGAAATTAACAAAACTAAAAAAACAATAAAAATGACAAAAATAAACATCAAAACTACTTGTAAAATGTAAAATATGAAAAAAAAACCTAATTCAAAATATTAAAAAAATACTATGATAGGATTTGAGCGATACTAAAAAAAACAATCATAAACAAGCAGTCAGTAATTAGACTACACCTGTGCATTCCAGTAAGTCAGTCACTTAACTAAATACAACAGATTCAGAGATTCATTAAAAATGTACCTGCTAAAATGAGTCATCAGTTGAGGCATCGTTAGTTAAGCGACATGTTTGTGAAACACACACACACACACTCACTCACTCACTCACTCCCACACACACACACACACACAGGTTTGTTTTTGTGAAAAGTGGGGACATCCCATAGGCGTAATGGTTTTTATACTGTACAGACAGTATATTCTATTGCCCTACACCAACCCTACCCCTAAACCTACCCCTCACAGGAGACTTTGTGCTATTTCAGATTTTCAATACACTCCATTCTGTGTGATTTATAAGCGTTTTGAAAAGTGGGGACATGGGGTAATGTCCTGAAAAGTCACCTTCTCCTTGTAATACCTGTCATACCTTTGTCATTATACACATTTATGTCCTCATTTGTCACAAAAACGCTCACACAGTCACACTCACACTCACACTCACACTCACACAGTCTCCTCTGTGTCTCCCAGGTGGAGGTGATGAAGGGGAACGCAGAGTCTCGGGTGCAGGTTTACCTGCAGAAGTTCAGAGCTCGCTGGGACCAGCTCAAACCCGGGCATGACATCATCGAGTCAGGTGACCACGAGACTCTGCAGCGCTGCGTTCAGAACATCCGCGACAGATGAGCCGAGTTCGACGAGCTGGAGAACACGCAAAAAAACTCTCTGGCGACCGACACGCTGCAGATGTGGGAGCTTTACGAGGAGTTTCAGCAGGGACTGGATGAACACGCAGAGCAGGGCTGGATTTCCTTCAGGTTGTGATGTGACATGTGGCCAAGTATGGTGACCCATACTCGGAATTAGTGCTCTGCATTTATCCCATCCAAAGTGCACACACACAGCAGTGAACACACACACACCGTGAACACACCCCCAGAGCAGTGGGCAGCCATTTATGCTGCGGGGCCCGGGGAGCAGTTGGGGGTTCGGTGCCTTGCTCAAGGGCACCTCAGTCATGCTATCGAAGGTGGAAGAGAGCGCCGTACATTCACTCCCCCCACCTACAATCCCTGCCTTTATGAGACAACCTTGGCTTACGAGTCCGACTCTCTAACCATTAGGCCACGACTTCCCCTCAGTCATAGGTCACAGTCATAGCACTCACACTGAGAACATTTCATTTGATGAACTATTGTCAGATACACAGAAACCCAAAGGTCTTCACTCATCAAAATAATTTTAACATGAAGAAATTGTGATAGAAATACAGTTACTTATATTACTGTTGTACAGTAAAATGTACTTCTCAAAGTACCGATAATAATAAAAAATTATATAATAATAATAAAAAAAATGTTTATTTAAAACTATTAATACTTTATGTAATATCACACAGATGTTTTTCAATGTTTTAATTTTAATAGTAAATCTGTAATATGCAGCATTTTGTTTGCCAAAAAATAAAAAGAATTTTGATTATATTGTAAAAGATTAATCAAATCAATTTTTAGTTTTTATTTGATTACCGCTGTTTGTGATAGCACATTTGTATTAAATCATAAATGCAGAAAAATGTATACGAAAAACACAGAATTTCTTCCTATTATTGTAAAAATTGCAATAAAGTTATATAAATTCAATTGATTAGACATGCTTTGATGATTAAAATCTAAAGCGAAAAATTTAAATGTATGACATAATTTTGGAAAAACAAAACTGAATTTTGAAAAAATATAAGACCCGAAATGTAGTTTTTAAAATCTTTAATAAATTGTTATTAAATGTTTTATGAGATTCTTGATTTAAATTGATTAGACATGCTTGATTACTAAAATGTAATTAAACTGTTTTTTAAACAGAACCCAAAAAGCAAAAAATGAAACGGAAGAAACTTAATCCAGAAAAATAAAAGCGAAAAGCAACATTTGGGAAAAACCACACATGGTCTGGAACATCAGACGCATCAGGAGGAATTTCTACAAAGGTTCATAGACATTCAGAGTCTTTGTGTCTGAAACACATTCAGCATTCATCCAGGACTGAGACACACACTGTGTGTTTTCCCTGCAGGAGTAAGCCTCACATGTTCGAGGAGTTTCTGTTCGCGTGGCACGACGTCTGAGGAAGCTGGAGGAGCACAGCAGCATGTCTGTCACACTGCAGAAGGAAGAGGTCTGACGGCTGGATCATCCAGTTATTTACTAGTATTCTGTGGAAATTCTGCTGTATGTGTGGATTGGTCATGTTCAGGTCATTTGGAGTGTTTGTTATAGTTGAAATCAGTGCTGCTACTAACTTAACTAGGCTTGCATTTTTCAGTATTGTGACAGAAGATTAGATTTTTTCCAATAACTACAATCAGTAGCTACTTTATTATTTCATTTCTCTCTCAGGTAATCTGAATCAGTTTAGTGAATTAATTTGGATGGTTCATTTCAATTAATATAAATAAGTATATTAACTGTGTAATTGATAATTAAATAATATTTAAAAAAATAAATTGACTTGTTTAGGACATGTTCTGCTGTGTACTTTCGTTCAAATATGTGTTTTTTTTTGTTGTTGTTTTTTTTTGGCTTTAAAATATATAATTTTATATATCAAATATAAAAACTATATTTCTTTTTATTTGCATAATTTATATTTTTAGAAATAATTTTAATAACATGAATTATACAAATGAATAAAAAAACTCTACCTGCTGACATATGTCATAACACAAACATGAATAAAGCAGCAAAAATATGTATACATTGTAAACCAGCAAACATAAAACCCAAAATAAGCCACTATATTTGAATATTCATGCTATGCATAAATATGTATATATATATATATATATATATATGTATATATATATATTAATTCGATATGCATTCTATATAAAAGTATGTAATTTTATTTATATAAATAATTTGTAAAAATATTTTTAATTATAAAAATGAATTACAAAATATAAGTAAAAACAGCTTATTAATAGCTAACTAATTTTTCAAAAGTGTAAATTTGTAGTTAACTACTTAAAATGATTTGATTTATGATTATTGTTCAATTATTGCTAGTTTATTAGTTGTATATACTTGTAGCTGGGCATAAGACAGGTGTGTTAAGGATGAAGCAGTGTGTTTTAGGCTGTGGTTCCAGTGTTGAAGTACGTGCGAGGTGAGCAGCTCTCTCAGGAACACTCTGCCCAGAGAACCACACCAGAGAGACTGCAGTTCAGAGACCTGCTGCGAGCCCTGGAGCTCAAGGTACAAACACACTTCAGGTCATGCTTTACTGTCACGCACTGCAAAAAAATCATTTCCTTATTTAGTATTTTGTGTAGTTTTGTGTTGTGTTATTTAGTTCAGCTGATTCTTTTCCGTGTCAAGTTTTTGTCCTTAACAGACGTGACCACACTGCAAAAAAAATCATTTTCTTAATTAGTATTTTTGTCTTGTTTTCCAGTACAAATATCTAAACATTCTTAAGTCAAGATACAAGCAAAATTACTAATATATTATTAATAATATACTAAAAATACTAATAAGATATTAAGAATTGTTTTCTGAAAAAGTGAGTTTAAGCTTAAAACAAGAAAAAATATCTGCCAAAGGGATTTTTTTCATATATGATTTATTTAATACATAAGTAGTTTAAATAATTAATACAAAATAAAATGTTACGTTTCTGTAATTTTTTTATGGTTTATTTAAAATTATTATTATTATTTTACTATAAATATGTGAGTAGGTAGAGATATTTTAATAATATTACTACTACTACTCATCAAAGATATAGTTACAGTTATATTAAATATATATAATATTAAATTAAATATATGCTTTACCTCTAGGAATTCATTGAGGGATTTCTGCAAGTGCTTAAAAAATAATTTCTAAGTAGGAAAATACTAAGTAAGAAAATCATTATTTACAGTGTGGTAATGTCTGTTTAGGACAAAAAGTTAGATTAACATGGAAAAGAAGCAATTGTATTGAATAAATGCACTATTTAGTCTGTTTATGAACGTTACCTGGCCTCTATTGGCGTTTCTGTGTCCGTGACAGGATCTGAACCGTCGCGCTCAGGCCGAGGTCACCATCCGCGAGGCCCTGCGGGAGCTGGAGCTGTGGGGCGCCGGCGCGTGTTTCTCCCTGACGGACTACACGGACAGTCAGGGTGGCTCTCTGCGTGTCATCAAGGACTGGAGGGACACGGTCAACCAGGTGGGCGACAACCACTGCCTGCTGCAGTCGCTCAAAGACTCGCCCTATTACCTGCGCTTCCAGGACAAACTGTCGCTGTGGGAAACATGGCTGGCTGACCTCAACGAGTACCTCCGGAACCTCAACACCATCCAGAGGAAGTGGGTCTAACTCGAGCCCCTATTTGGGCATGGGGTGTTGCCGCGGGAACAGGCCCGCTTTCAGAGGGTGGACCAGGATTTCAGGTGAGCGGGGGGGAAGGGAGGGGATGCTGGGACAGGTGTGAGAGATGAGTGTAGAATCTCTCACCTGTGTGTGAGTGCGTAGAGCCATCACATCAGACGTTCAGAGGGACAGCAGGGTCACGTCTCTCAGCACTCGAGCTGGAATCAGGAACTCCCTCGTCACCATCCTGGACCAGTTACAGCGCTGCCAGAAATCCCTCAATGAATTCCTGGAGGTGAAGCCTATATTTAAATATATAATATGTAAATAAATATATACATAAAATTATAATTATAATAAAAACAATATAATAATATTATAAAAACATTGTTTTATAATATGAAATGTATTTTGTGTTTTGAATTCTTTTTGTCCTGTATTAACAACCACTCCAATTCCTTAGTTTGATATGAAAATACATGAAAATATATGTTTTTTTTCTCATGTGTAAATAACGCAAAGCAATGTGGCCTACTGATAGTTACACAAATATATCTATTATTAATATTTAAAGATCTCTTAACTCCTGACATATCTCTGGAGTCATAGCAAAAGCACGAATAAAGCAACATAAATTTAAAATAAACCATCAAAAATAATGGAGAATGTATATAATATGATACAATATAATGTTAATATATGCATACATATATATATCTATATATATCTATATATATATATATATATATATATATATATATATATATATATATAT